GGCTTCCCTGGCGACAGGTACCTGGCGGCTTGCCCAGCATCTCCATGGCGGTGGTCAGGTCCCACATCTGGAGGCTGCCGTTGGCATGGCCCGTGAAGAGGTAGCGGCGCGGCCGGGAGCCGATGCGGCTGGAGCCTTCGCACTCGTGCACCGTGAAGGAGGTGATGGCCGTGCTGTCCACGGAGCGCACCTCGCAGATCCTGGGGCAGGGGGCAGAGCGGGAGCTGGGGGCCAGGACGCCTGGGTTCTATCCCCCCTGCTCAGCCAAAGGCCCTCCGGTGCCCGTCTCCCCCTTTGTACAGCCGGGAGAACAGCGAGGCCCTGTCACCCCCATCCCTCGGGGCCCCTGCACCACGGAGCCTCCCCCACCAGTTGCAGCGCCAGCCACGGGGGGCACCCGCGAGTCGTGAGAGCCCACCCCACCACCGCCCGGGCCATTTGGCCCCTTGATCCAGGCTCGGGGCCCCCCAGGCACCTCTTGCCGGTGGAGGAGAGACGCACGAAGACCTGGCTGGCATCTGGAACCACCTTCTGGATGAAAACCTGCTGGTCGTCCCGCTCTCCGAAGGGCCCTGCCGAGAGTCGCCAGTCAGTGCCCCTGGCCTCCGCTCTGGGGGCAGGGACACACCCGCCCCTCCTGCCCCCCAGCGCCACCACCCCATTCCCGAGCACCGTCACCGCGCCCTCTGCCCCCCATTGCCACTACCTCCCAGCACCGTCACTCCAACCCCCTCCCGCCCCCCAGCGGCGTCACCCACCGATGTCAGTGCCGGCGCTGCAGCCTGCGTGCCCGTCGAGGTCCTCCAGGGACAGGATCTTGAAGGAGGCCAGCGGGGTGGAGCCCGGCTGCGTGGAGATCATGCCGCGGAAGCGCGTCACCGTCCAGGTGCGGACGTGGTTGTTATCGGCACAGACTGGAGGCCAGGGGGACGGATTAATTTCACCAATGGCTCCCTGCACCCCACTGCCTAAGGGGCTCCCTGCCCCCTGCCATGAACAGGGC